TATCGGATTTTTCGCTCGCCACTGCATCCTCTTCGAGTCGCCGACGACCGCCGGATTTGGAAGATCCGCCTTTCTTGTCACGAGAAGATGATGGAGATTCAAGGCTTCCTCCACTAGCACCACGCTGGCGCTTATTACCGGAAGGACGTTCACCAGAGGCATCATTTGCCGCGGAATTAATTGCATCCCTGGTGGAACCAATATACACCTGTCGAGGGGCAAAAATACATACGTTAATCATTGTAGCCAGCGGTAAGACTAAACACTTCCGGGGATCATGTAACTAGTGCAATAGGAGCGGATCCTGACATGACAAGAACGAAGTTGATTGTAGTGTAGTATGCTGTCTGAAAAACTAGTTTGGCACTCACGACATAAGCTAACATAATTGAAAATTTTTTATGAAATAAGTAATCAGACAACTTGGCTTGGAACGACCGAAACCAGAAAGAAGTCCATGGAAGGTGGCAAATGCCACCACTGAGCCAGTACATCTCGATCAAAAAGAAAGCTAGTAACCGACAATGCACAAGGATATCACTAAGTCTTTCAAAATCAAAAAGCATGAAAGTAGGACTGTGCCTGTCTTTGATAGTCTGTTGACGCTGGTTGAAGATGTCCATCAAGTCCCACAATGAGTGGGACAACTGGATAAGTCCGAGAACTACCCGGATAAAATATATTTATGTGGTATGGCTAATGTGACAAGTCGGCGAACGGAAACATCATTCAATAAAAAGACTAAGCCAACGACATTAACGAAACTCCCCATAATGTCTTTATATCTGAGGTACCTTCAGAGACTAATGAAGACGCAGTTACGGCAGAGGAGCCTGGGTTCAAAATAATTGAACGGAACTTTGCAGATACGGGTGGGCGGCGAAAAAAGGGTATTTTTAAGTACATGTTATCGAGTAATTCATATCAAGTGATGGAAGAATTAAAGTGTTCGCTAACCCATACATCCAACTCCGAATAGAGCTAGACTTACCTGATACTTTAAGTCAGAAAAAAACGGCGTTACATCTTCACCGGGTTTGAGGTTTGCACCATTAAGATGCCCGAAACACACAATATCTCCGTGTTTAAGCGTGACACCTCCAGATACACGCATATAATTCACATAAGTCCCGTTCATGCTATGATCATAAAGCATAAATCCACCATTTGCTAAACGTTCAATGGTAGCGTGGTTCCGAGAAATCATGCGCTTGTTGATACAGCTTTCGATAAGATAGTGTGGCGGGTTTGTCGAGTTTAACCGCCCAATTCTTATCTCTTTCTGACCTTCTTTCAATTCAATAAGTTTTGGGCGGTAGCGTTCATCGGAGATTTTCATGGAAGCATTTGCCATTCGCTTATCTTGGTTAAGATCACCGACCCAAAGTAGAGACACGGTACTCATATTTCTTCACAAAACCAAAAAGACAATTTACTGCGTTGTTTAACGTCGAAGTCTAGTCACTCTCGGCTTTCAAAGTGTAGAAGTCAGCCTAAAATGCACGCGCCAATTACAAACAAGATGAATCCGGGTAAGGCGGCTTCGACGATGTAAGGAAAGCTAGACTAAACAAAACTAAAAAATCAGGACAAATCTAGGTACTCGTCACATGGGATACAGATCACATTTTCGCATGCTAACTCATTTCTAAATATAAATTGTAAAATAATTTAACAAAGCTGCAAACATTTATTAAATTTGTAAAAAATAGTGTGTGGTATTCCAGAAACAAAATATTTTTTTCCAAAAATTATAACATGTTCACAAGGCTAATTTGATTTAAAAAGATCAAAACAAAGCATTAATTTTATTCAAAATTCATGAAATTTGACTTATATTTAGTTTTAATTCCACAACTTACCCCAGATGCTCCAATAATATATTATGAAATTTTTGGATTTTGCATCACTTTTAACATTGACTTTAACAACTTACTGTAAAATATCAGGCGAATGTAAAAATCTGTTAACTGAACGTCAATTAGAAGTTGACGTTCAGTTAACAGTAATTTAGGGTTCGTGTTGACATGATGATACTCAGTGAACTTAATGTGTGAGCTATGACATTGTGAATTCAATTCGGAATATTTACATCTTTTGCCAGGAAGGCTCCATCGAATATTCTTTTTTTAAATATGCACAATCAAAGTCGGTGTAATGCCCAAATTTGTCTTGACGACAGTAGTAAAGATATATTCTTAACAGCGATTTCAACAGTCCTTTAATTCAATTGATGTAAACTGGTTTCATATCAGATTAAAAACTTTTTGCAATTTTAAAGGAAATGACGTGGTAAATAATATATAACAATAACCGTCGCAAAACAAATGTTGGAGCAACTACCATGTCTACATTGAAAAGCTCCAGAAAAGAACCGAAAATTTGCTTCTGCCATAGAAAGGCAAAGTCAAGTACCACAGAGACAGAATAATAGATTAACCGCGAGCAAGAGCCTCTCATTAAGTAATGTAGTGCCAATTCCTCTATACTGACTATGCTGTTTTGTGTAGTGCTTACCATTTTTCTTTGCCTTCAATGGGCTACTAATCTGCAGAAATTCCAAACTCTTGTGTTTAGCAGACTGGTACAAAGGAAGAGGAATCATTGACCACTTACGTACCAGTATCGTACGTCAGGCTCTGTCCAGCTGAATACCCAAGCCCTATTACGAGGAATAATGATAAAACAGAACAGATTGCATCGACCAATCACATGGCAGAATTGTGAGTTTGATGCCTACCATTAGCAACGCCTTCGCTGACTTGGCAATGCCTCTTCAGATACAATAGTCATAATCCCGGTCAATGTGTATGGATCTAGTGCATGGGACATCGGTTGACAAATTCACCTGTCATTTAAGGGTCTTTACCTCTGATGTCCATTGTAAGGACAGGGCTGGGGTTCGATGCACACATCAGACACCGTCCCCCCGAGTCCACCACGCTGGCTACGTCGCTCGTTATATACTGTTCCTCGTTCGTGTTCTTATCTGGTTGGCTGTTTATCTTCCTCGCATGCCATTGGAACGCAGAGAGACACAGGGCTGGCTGAGACAAGCATGGTCCAATATTTCTGCGCCCTGATCCGTCGCCACACTGCCTCCCCCTCAGCAGTAAAGCTGTCCTCAGCTTCTGGTTGGGTTCATCGCTATGTTCATGATTGTTCAAATATCCATTTCGACAATCCCCGCACCCCACATCTGGCAAGATAGTGGCCCATGCTATTAGTTGACGAGGGACTTTGCTCTTGTAGACTTGCAGGAAGGACTCATCATCCATCGACGGTCCGTCCGCAGTTGCAGTCCAGCTGGCTTCTACTGTCCATGTCGTCGTCGTTGCTGAGTTGCCAATTCCTCTTCAGACTCAGAAGTCCTAATCCCGGGCAATGTCTATGGATCCAGGGTATGGGACATCGGATGGCCGCCATGACAAATTCAGCTGGCATTTAAGGGTCTTTGCCTCTGTTGACCATAGAAAGGAAAGGGCTGGGGTTCAATTCGTGTTATTCGAACGCATCCGATGCCACCACTGTAGAATACCAGGGCCCAAGTATGAATAAGACTGCCACAACAGAACAGGCTCTATCGACCAATCAGAAGCCAGAGCCACACGTCAGGCTCCTTCCATCCAAGTCCACCACTCTGGCCACGCCGCTCATTATATACTGCTCCTCAGTCGTGTCCTTCTCTGGTTGGCTGCTTATCGTCCTCGCAAGCCATTGGAACACAGAGAGACACAGGATTGGCTGAGGCCAGGTGATCCAACATGTCTGCGCCCTAATCCGTCGTCACACCACACCACTACTGTAAGTTTCCTGCCCATACTAAGAATTAGGCTAAGACAAAAAGAACACTTTTTTGAGACAGAAACGGCCACAGTCTGGTCTAGCTCCTCTGGGTTAGGGTGTGTCTGCGTTGTAATCGCACATGTGACACCACTGCTCTGCTCATAAACTACCGGTACCTCATGAGACCCTAGGCGTAAGCAACGCTGTTGTAGACTGTATTCGCCGGCATACCTGTCGAGGAAGTCTGACCCCTATATACCATCGTATGACATGTCCTGGTATAAATATAAAGTATGCTGGCACAGACTACCCACGACAGTGAGCGAGACACCACTGTAGAATACCCGATCCCTAATAAGATGAAGACTAGTACAACAGAATAGGCTTTATTGACCAATCACGACGCCACACTACACCTTAGTGCATTTATACCTCACTTTATTAGTCGAAAAGGCTGCTTCGACTTGTCTAGAGTATTTTCCAAATTTTTTTCCGACATTGCGATCGAAGGCAATTCTTTTTTAGTGTACTGAGGTATTGGTGTTCGAATGATTAAGTTTGGGACGTCTGGTCGTGTTGCTAATGTGTTATCTTTTAGTGATCCGTCAGTGTGTCAAAATTAAGCGAAACTTTACCTTGAAAATTTCAAGAATTTGTTGGGTTGAATGACAGTCTATTCCTAACTAGCTGATATTTTGGCCTAAAAATTTGAATGTGTCGCTTTCCCGTAATTTTTAATTTTTTTTATTTGAAAGAAGATGATACTGAACGTTAATGTTGGAATTCTGGGTCATGTTGATTCGGGCAAAACAAGTCTCTCAAAGGCCTTAAGTACTGTCGCTAGTACGGCCGCTTTTGACAAGAATCCTCAAAGTCAGAAACGTGGCATAACCCTCGACTTGGGGTTCTCCTCGTTCACTGTGGATGGAAACATACCCTCCCACCTCGCTCCTGCTGAAGCCATTCAAGTTACGTTGGTTGACTGCCCCGGTCACGCGTCTCTCATTAGAACAATAATTTGTGGTAAGTTATATAAATCGCTTATACGACTTCATTTGACAAAATCTTTTCAGACGGTTTTACTTTGATAGCGCATTAAGACATGGCGTTTAGTGCAACTTTGGCACCGATTAGTACTCTCAGTGTTCCTTCGTACCAAATTTCTTACTAATGCAACTCGTTTTCGTCAATTCACAGGTAGGTTGAGTATGCGCAAAATAAAGGTTATTTTAGTCCCCGTTGATGTCGACTAGGAACTCATAGCTTTAGCTGTTAACATCTTTCAACCACGAATGACTTCAACAAAGCCCTTTTCTGTAACAGATGGTGTAGTCGATTGGTTTGATTTGTGTCATCTACACTTTGGCAATTTGTAACAAAATTCCATTTAAATGAATTCATATTTTTATTCAAAAGTCGTAAATTGTCGGGTCTAGATCCCCTGAGTTTTTTTGACGTTGGATCAGATTTCGATCGTTGGTTACTTAAGAAAGATTTCATGCTTCGCAGTGAAATTCAGGATAATGTCGAAACCCAAATACCATTGGGACCCGAAACGTTTGGGGGCCTAAAGTGAGGTTTGGAATTTCTGGCAACCTCAAATCGTAATTTCGTTTACCTGCTCTACGTCTGACCTCATAGGCGCCCACATAATCGATTTGATGCTTCTCGTCGTTGACGTCAATAAGGGATTCCAAACACAGACAGCTGAATGCCTCGTAATTGGAGAACTAACCTGTGAAGCACTTCTGGTAGTTCTCAACAAAATTGACCTCATCCTCCCCGAAAAACGTGACGAGAGAATATCTAAGGTTAGCTTAGTGTCTGTGTCTTGAGTGGCCTTGTATCAAATGGTTACTCGTATTTACGAAACAAACGTTCATGTAAGGTTTTGTTCCGTTTCCCGATCGTCATTGCTTTTTCATTAATTGCAGAAATAAAACGTACCCTGTTTCGAACCTACCTTTTAATGGAGATCATTAAACAACAAAGGCGTTTGCCCTTGTAGATGAAGGTGCGTATCGCGAAGACGCTGGAATCGACGAAATTCAAAAATGCGCCCATCGTTGCGTTGTCGGCCGTTCAGAGCGATCGCTTGGTACTTCCGGGTGTATAATTTCTTTAACATGGCCCTCCACATCTGCATACAATTTGTTCAAATCAAGTAGGATTTACTCACCAAACCTACGCTTATTGATTCAGGAAAGAGATTTACCATAAGTCACTTTGTGTATCAGCTCTTGGAATGCAGTTTTTTTTTAATTATTATGAGTGAAACCGCAAAAGTAGGCTACCCCACCTTGTTCTTGCCATCGACTCCAATCTTGGACATCCGATTTGTGCCACGTTCAGTTTGTGTCCTTTTTCTATAGGCAGAGGGTGATTTTTCAAGAGGAATGGAGGAGTTAGTCGAGGCCTTACTCTCAGTCCTTCCTGACCCACGACCAAGGTGCAAGTACCTCTCTAGTCTTCCCTTCTTGTTTGCTGTGGACCACTGCTTTAGCGTATCCGGTCAAGGCACTGTGCTTACCGGAACCGTCCTTCGCGGTTGTGTTCGTACTAATGAGGTGATTTTGGCCTTGGTGCTTCTTTTGTTTCCCTCTATTGCAATCCCTGCATTTGTCACACTTAAAATATCTGAGTGGCCTGACGACACAATGTCTGGCGCAGTACCCTTAGTGGAAATGTGCCTACCAATTTTAAGACACATTCGGAAGAAAATCAAAATAAACCCACTGTATTTTGATGCAGCCTAAATGCTCTATTAATAGCCTCTTAAGATTAGATGCTTACTGTTGCTTATAAAGCTTATTGAGCCTTCTAGAAGTTCGCTAGGCGCACACTGCGCAATCTCATGTGATGACTTGAGCTTCCTCATGGGAGCCCAAATAAGCTTGATCGGAGGTCTGTCGTCGGTCAGCAAAAAGCATTTGCGAATTCATCTTGTACCAAAAAATGACTGGCACTTTTTCCAGTTCTTTCTTAATCGGATGGAACGTGTTAATCTTCTTTTCAATTTTAGACTGTCGAAATTCCTCAATATAAACTCAAGAAAAAAATCAAATCAATGCAGATGTTTCGAAAACCCATAGACGCGATCCATCCGGTGGGTAGTGCTTCTTGTCCTGTGCACTGATACCTCAGCAAATCGAGTTGCGGGCGATTGTGTATCACCTCGCAGTCTCCTGGTCTTGGGTGCAAGAAATCTGCTTTCCTGAACCCCGAAACACCCTTGGGGGCTACTCCTTATTACATAATTTATGCACATGACCGAAAGTTCATTCGGCTAAAGTGTAAAAGACCTGTCGAATGAAGGGGTAGGTTAGTTACGGTGCACATTGTTCGATTAGATAAATCTTTTTGATCTGATTTCATGTTCCACCGCAACACACAATCCCTTGCTACACTTCAGTGGGGTTTACTCGTGGTTGGTAACGTAGATAAATGTGTGCTTTCGATAGATTTACCTCACCTTTGGGACATCGCCTCACGAAATTTTTTTGTGCCACCATGTAATCTTTTTTTGCAATTAATCCATGTAGATCGATAACAGCGGTGTTGAGCGTCTGATACGGGGACACTATTTCTGCAAAGCCTCGCCTTACTTGTCAGAGTGTTCCAGTCTAATGTCTCCCTCCTTTCTTAAAGGGTGATCGGGCAGGAATCTGCATCGCCCAGCTAGATTCGAGTTTAATGGAGCGCGGTTTTTTAGCCGCACCGGATAGTCTGGCGACTTGCCAGGCTTGTCTCCTCTCTGAAGTGCGAAAAATTGCCTACTTCAAGGGCCCAGTTCGTAGCAAGTCTCGCTTCCATGTATCCATCGGACAAGACACCGTCCTAGCTCGTATAACCTGTCTGAGGCTTATTGGTGGGTGTCAGCAGCAAGGGCAAACGAAAGAGGAGTTTGAGTATGCCGAGGAACTGTCTGATGAAGGTAAAAGCAAGACTTATCTGGGTATAAAACCTCAAACAACTCTCATAACTTTGAAATTATGAGGTCGGGTTTTTGGACATAAATTCCAGTGCCCATTTCGAGGTCTCATTGACCGCGAGGTTCCATTCCAGAGAACAGGGATGTGATAACTGTATTTACTTCTAATCAAGGAGAAGAAGTGGGTCAAACAAATTTGCTCTTGGAATTCGACACTCCCGTAGTGTCTCCCATATCTGGCCTCGTGATTGGCTCTCGCCTGGATACCGATCCTCTCTCACCCTCCTGTCGACTCGCCTTCCACGGGAGTGTGCTGCGCGTCTACTCGTCAGCTGAAGAATTCCGCACTACTCTGTCGGTGAGTTCTTAAACTGCTAACCGAACACAGCTATCTGTGTAAAGTCTCACTACTCGGTATGCCCTTCTTGCTTATGGATGCATTGCAACCCGTATTCCTAAATTCCGTCGATGTGGTGAAAAAACGGACCACTCTTAATACTTTTGTGTACCTCCACATAGATAGGTAGCCTCCTACATACGAGGGTGCTTCCTAAACGCTGCAAGATTCTTCGCTTGCTTTAAACGAAGTCCTGTGTTCCAAATCCAGGTGAAAGCGCATTACCTAAACCTGTCTTGTCAGTTCAAACATGAATTCGGTGGATGCTTTCCGTCTGTTATGCGGATTCTTGATAAAAAAATCCTTAGTGAGTTTTCATTAATTTGTGAACCGCGGGACATGAGCCTGTGAGTCGCCAATTGAACGATGAGATACCGTACTTGCTGTACCAATTAATGTCCCAAAAGAAGCGATTGGCTTCCCAAACTGTTGCCTCTGCCGACCAACTTGGCTATCTCTTTTGCTCTCGAGGTTTATCGTCACAAGTCGAGGCGCGGAGAGGTCGAGCGTGTGACTGACCCGCGTTCCTGCATTGTGCGGGGCCTTTTCAAACGAGAAACCAACTGGGACATCTTTACAGGTCTCAAGGTAGATATTTGCTCCCCCGATAATTCCGTAAGTGTTCCTGGAATTGTGGAGGGAAGTTTTGGACAAAGTGGAAAATGCCGAGTCAGGCTCTCAAGTAAGTCAAGGACTCGTGGCTTTGAATGATACCTCTGTGGCTACTTTTATTAACAACAGATGGTAATCTGGTCGCACCTCATTTGTTAGGCAAAGTCCACGTGGCCTGGGGAGTCAGTTGATTGATCTAGACAGAATACGTAAGGCCGAAATTGCCGTTTTTATCATTTGTCCCTCGTAATTCGTTAGCCTTGCCGTCACAATAAAGCGCAAAGAGCAAGTGGTGTCTGAAACGCATAATACCGTCAAATCGACCCCCCATTAATGTGTTAAAAACGAGAAAAGAAATAAATCTTCGAGAAACTGGGGACAGCATTCTTGTAGAATACCGAGTTTTCACTCCACCGGCACTAGGCACAGGCAAAGTGGCGTTAAACATGCTACTAAAAGGCGGAAACACGTGGACTTATGCATTGCTCCAAATAACGTCCTTCTCCGACCACTCAAAAGTTTCGACTTTCAGGTAGAAAAATGCTCACACGCCTTACTCTAGCTCTTAGCTGGTTAGCACTCACGTGAACTCAAATGCCACTTCTATTAGGTAACCTCCCGGAGAACATAGTGAATCAATTCGGCGGCAAATCGGGCAAAAGATCCGCGAAAGCCAACGACGGCAGTCAATCCTCCGAGAGAGGCCAGCAACTTCAGGTTATTCTGAATTTTAAAAAGCATGTCTTTGACGCGACCAAGCGCTTTGTCCAGTGACTTTCTCTGCTATTTTCAGATCAATTTTCATTTACTGGCAGTCCTAATTGTCACTACAATTGAAATATAAGACCTCTCCGAATATTCAATGCAGGCTTTTTTTCGAAGTACTGTAAGGCACGGGAAATCAGAAACAGCACAACCACAATGTTTGGTGTTTCCTTCGATGCATCTGCGTGCGCAATATTAAACCACGAAGCAAGCATTCGTAACGACTTCCATCGGAAGACGTTTCTTGTGAATAGGTTGTTTTATCACATTAAACCAGTGCTGGACTACCTAACTCCTTAGTTTTATCAACCTTTTCTGCATCAAAACGTATATATTTGCTCTCTTCGTGGAGGGTCAGTTCACAAGAAGTGTGCAAAAGCCTGGAAATCACAGGTTTGAGTCACAAGTATCTAGTTTTCGTGATTATGCGGTATATAGAGCACTAGTAGGCATGTCGACTTTTGTGCCAACACTCGTAACGGGCAGCTTATTCGGTGTTCAAGAATTCCATTGCAAAAGACCATTCGTTGCTACCCGGCTCGGGGATAGTGGGAACTAATGGATCGCTATGACGGACCATCGGGGAAGAAATCGACGTCTGCAGAACTGTCCCGTAGGTATTTTTGGCTTGGGTTTTTTTGTCAAAACATTTATCCTACTTAGCCTCACCTTCGCATATTTATATCGACGCGCCTTATTTCACAAAGGTAATATTAGCGCCGTCCTTGCCACCTCGAGTTATCTATGCATTTTAAAATTGCGCGCAAATCCAGAACTGTTTCCCAAATACCATGAATTGAGCTTCGGGTGTCATGGGCTAAAGCTGAAAAAATTGATGCTATTCAACAAATTATTTGAACAATTTCTGCAATTTTTCTGTTGGTCCTGTTTTACTGTGAATTAGACCGATGAACCCTTGGTCGTTTGAATATATAAATAAATCTTCCTAAATCTAAACTTCATAAGAGTTACTTCAATCGTTCTGGCATTAATTTGCAGCCTAGATGAGTTAAAAATACCGCCTAAAATTTGCCACAAAGCTAAAAAGCTGGATTTTATTTATGTGTGTGCGGGTTATCGAATCTCTCATAAATTACAATATCCATTAATCGAAGAAATTTATGAGTTTTTAGATTAAATTGCTAATTTATAAATTAAAAGAGAAATCAGATTCAAATTGTCTAGTTTTGAGCCGTACCCCATTGCATTCTTTTGCATTCCGGGATATTACCTTTAATGGACAGTTTGACCCGATAAGCATTCTATCGCATTTCCAGAAAATCTATCTGATCAGCAAGATTGATGGCATGCATTTTCTGCTGATTTCAAACATAAAAACTTTGGAAACATAAAACAGATGCGATGAATGTGCGGTCCAGAAAGTTGGCCACAAATCAGTCTGACTAGCACGACTTGGTATTATATTTTAAATTTATACTTTCACACAGCGCTGCAACGAATTTGACCTCGAGGTCACTCGGTGTTTTTCTCGATGGAGGTATTTTTTGTTCATTCACTTTAAATGTTTTAGGAAGATGTTAAAACGGAAGAAGTAGGCATCCTTTTTTGTAGTGAGTGCAATAATATGTTATACCCGAAGGAAGATAAGCGCAACAAACGACTGATGTATGCTTGTCGAAATTGTGAGTACATGCAGCCAGCCGACAATCCATGCGTTTACGTTAATCGCCTCGAACAAGAAATCGAGTACGTTTTGCCCATTTTTCTCCGATAAAGTACCCGGTTGACTCGTTTGTGTCTGTCTAATTTTGTATTCTATAGGTTTCGTCTGCATGGTCATCTCTCAATGATATTTTTTGCCCAGGTCCTATTACTTGTTTGTTAGATCACGCAGTTACCTAAATAATTGTGCTTTTAACCTTAAGTTTTTAATTTTTTGGGAAAGCGTCCTTGCGTTTACGATGTCGAAAATTTTAAATCAGGCGTCTTGATTTCGGGCAGAAAATGCCTTCAAATTTACCTTACTTTTTCTGGCAAGCTATCCTATCTAGATTTCCCTGTGACCTTTGTTATTCACTATTTACGTTAAGTATGGTTTTTAATATCTTCCATATTTTCCCAAGTCTTCTTTGGGCGTAGTACGTCGTGGTTTTTTGTGCTTTCATTGCGTCATTGATTCCATGACGGATGATGCATGCAGATTAGCAATAGAGTAGATTCCATTGAAATTACCTGTGGCAGAATCGGCCTTTTACTGTTTCGGGCTTCACTAGGTTATTCCGCCTCTATGTTTTCAGTTTCTTGAAGCTCATTCTTGCTATCTTCATCATTTCCGATTTATTGCTGCCCCTAAGTGTTCGGTCTACGTTTTGACCATTCGCCTTCTTAATCCAATGTCTTTGATCGAATCGAAGTAATAATCTTAACTAACTGACACGTTCTATTTTGGTTTATTGCTTCTTGTGTCGAGCATATCATCGTTTACTTTGCCTGCAATGTCAAGTCCCACCTCTTGCATTTTGCCTCATTGTACGTTAGCGCTTTGGGGTATTTGGCATCATTTTTTACTACAGACCATCATGTCTCCATTATTTGCTTTCTCACGTAGGCTTTATCATATGGCCTGTTATTGTTGCTTTAAAACCGTAACACCTCTGCCTTAAATGAATCTGTCGGAGTAAAGCCATCATTTATGCCCAAATAACAGTCATCGCATAACAATATCTTCACAACTCTGGTGAGCAGTTTGTGTTTCCGTTAGCAAAATATTTATAAGTCCAAACCTAGTGCTAATTGAACCATGCCTTGAAAAGTGTGTTTCATGCATTTATTTTCAGTTAAACGTTTTTACCGCACATTATGTTACTTTTTTGGCTCAAGTGCAGGTTCATCCATTCTGACTCATTCCGCCCTGCTTTGTATCTTTTAGTGAATTAGCGCTTATAGTCCCTGACGTGGTCCATGACCCGACATTGCCTAGGACAGAGGAACACCAGTGTCCACGCTGTAAAAAACAGGAAGCAGTATTTTTTCAGTCGCAGACTGTTAAAGCCGAGGAGAATATGCGCCTGTACTATGTCTGCACTAATGTTGAGTGCCTCTATAAGTGGACAGAATAGGCTATTACTCTTTTAAACCGTGTGAATGTACATAAATAAATTTCCGCTCATTCACATCCTTTCTTCGATTCGCTTGGCTGTACGTATATTTAGCCTAAATACTAGTAAAGCAAAAATATCAAATGTGGATACTTGGCGAAAAATGGTTTAAGATCTGCACTGTGTGTGTGTGTTTATTCAGATATGCTTCGTAAAAGTCATGTACATAGTGTTAATTAAAAAGACTGTTACCTGATGCAGGGTCCTATTTTGCTATTTATAAATTGATATCTATTCAACCAATTTTACTTGCGCACTTATCACACTCACCACCATTTATTTCAAATGTATGTATTCCGATGAAATTCTTCAGTTGTAATCTATGCTACCTGAGTCCAGACAAGATTCAGGTGTAAACTTTGGTGAGTGTCATCTTGGCTTAAATTTATTGTGAGTTACATTGAATAACGCTTGATAATCCATTCTCCTATTCACAGTGTGCTGTCAGCTGGGCGGTATCTCAACTCATACCTCATTATCGCTAACGAACACCCAGGATTACCACTACGTGTGGAAATGCTCACCTAGATCCACAACAATATAAATATGACTAAACTCAATTGTAGGGCTTCTTATTGGCAAAAAATCACAAATTTTCGGAACCAAGAATTGTTTTTATTCGATTTAACTAATTTATTTTGCCTGTGGATTTCTACAAATATTCTCAGTCATGTCGTTTTTCTGGGGCACCCGGGGCAAGGCGCATATTCATGCTGTAAAATGCGGCCACGTCCATATACTTTTTCAAAGTTCCATAATTATGTAACTTGGCACCTTATCAATATACTCGAAGTCGCGTGGATGGCTTCAGTGAAGCACCACGAATAACTCTATTTTTGCGACTTTTATTTGTTGCGAAAAGTTCAGGACGGTGGTCGCGACCCCTACGTTTGCCCTTCTTTGATTAATGTTTGTTTCATGCAGATTTCTATAAGCGATGCTACGAGACGGGTCGAAATTTTAGAACAAGGATATCTTACTAGGAAGAACTACATTGGTCCTTAATAACGTCGTTTTTGTAGAAGGTCTTGGGTTAGAAAACCGACAGCGTCACTAGAAGCATTGGGCAAACTATTAGTCAGTGCAAAAGATTCCATTATCACCGGTTGCATCATCAAAATATTTTGCAAAAAAATCGTCGTCGGCTACATTCCTGAGTGCGTTACTTATGGATAATTGAATGATTTTCAGAGGCACATGAGATGACTTGACATTCAAGCACGCTACTGTTTATTTAAATGGTAGAGTTGCTGTAGATGTGAGTTCGGTACCCAGTCTAGAATATCCACCGCAGCTTCCCTGGGCTAAAACCTGTGACAATATAACAGTCGAACTTAAAAAAAATTGTGTTGTTGTTTTCGTTTTACCGTTTATTTTGCTCCTTTAACCTTGAATGATGATAGAATCTAGGTAGTAATACACACATAATGGCTAAATATATATTCGACAAAATTATATCAGTCGTTTCATCAAATTTAGGGACAGCAAGTTTAAAACAGACATAATGGCCATTTTAAACTGAATGCTAAGTTAAGTTATTTTTATGACTTAATTCACTGCTGTTAATTCTAGGTTCAATGGGAAATCTTATCCATTTGATAATTCACCCCACTATCTCTTCAAATGGCATAGTACTGACGTTAAGTTCTCAACCTATTTGAATTTGTAAAAATTTTAGGACACGAGCAATGCGGGAAGTGAAATGGTATACACTGTAGTAGTTATATCTATAGCTAGTTTGTATCCTTAGGCGCTTCTGGAGGTGAAATTGTGGTAGTGGGACTCTGGTGTCAAAAATGGGTTGAATGAAAAAGGCGGCTGGTTTAGACTTAGCCTACAGAAAATAATTCGGAATTTCCGGAACTGACAATCAGAAATCCTGAAGCGTATACTTAAACAAAGAACAGGCAAAAGATGGGGAAAACTAACACTAGAGCCAAAGTTTGAGGTTTACTTCGTATAGGGAATAAACAGGTAAAAACGAAGTGGATGCAATTACGATGGCATAGTGAGAGGCGTGCATTGCAACTGAACTTTTTCCAAACACAACTATACATAAGTGTGTTGACAAAATTTCAACTTTCTTACAACTCGATCCTGCAAATTAATCAACATATATTTTTAATTGGCCAGAAGCATTGGCCTTCGAAAACTGTGACTTCATCTTGAGCACATTTTAAATGAGTAAAATTCGTTTGTCAGCAACAGCCCACCTATATCCACTTAGTAGAGGTCCCTTCCGCTTTTTAACTGTGTTTCTTAACCAAATTTTTTTCTGGTTGGCAGATGATAGGCGTGTAGAGTGATGAGTGGCTAAGCTCCAATATGTCTGCGATCTTCTTTTTTGGCTTGTAGAATACACGAGCCCTAGTAGGAAGAAGACTGGTACAACAGAACAGGCTTTATTGACCAATCACAAGCCACAGCCACACGTCAGGTGCCGTCCATCCGAGTCCACGACGCTGTCCACGACGCTGTCCACGCCGCTCATTATATACTGCTTCTCATTCGTATCCTTCTCTGGTTGGCTGCTTATCTTCATCGCATGCCATTGGAACGCAGGGAGACAATCATTGGCTGAGGCCAGTGTAAATATATCTGCACCCTGATATGTCGCCACCGTAGAATACCAGAGCCCTAATAGGAAAAAGACTGGTACAACAGGACAGGCTTTATTGACCAATCACGAACCAGAGCCACACGTCAGGCGCCTTAAATCCGAGTCCACGATGCTAGCCACACCGCTCATTATATACTGCACCTCAGTCGTGTCTTTCTCTGGTTGGTTACCTTCCTCTCATGCCATTGGAACGCAGAGGGACACAGGATTGGCTGCGGCCAGGTGGTCCAACAAGTCTGCTCCCTAATCCGACGCCACTGTAGAATACCCGAGCCCTAATAGGTAAAAGACTGGTACAACAGAACAGGCTTTATTGATCAATCAGAAGCCAGAGCCACGCGTCAGGCGCCTTCCATCCGAGTCCACGACGCTGGCCACGCTGCTCATTATATACTACATCTCATCCATGTCCTTCTCTGGTTGGCTGCTTATCTTCCTCGCATGCCATTAGAATGCAGAGACCCACAGGATTGGCTGAGGCCAGGTGGTCCAACATGTCTGCGCCCTAATCCGACGCCACACCGCCTCCCCCTTAGGAATGAATCTGTCCTCAGCTTCTGGCTTGGTTCCTTGCACTGTTGTTGATATCCAGTGTTGGTAAAATATCCAGTTCGACACTCCCCGCACCCCACATCTCGCAGGATTGTGGCCCATGCGAATAGTTGACGAGGGACTTTGCTTTCTTAGACCTGCAGGAAGGACTCATCATCCATCGTAGGTCCCTTCGCAAGTGCAGTCCAGCTGGCTTTCACTGTCCATGTCGTCGTCGCTGAGTTGCCAATGCCTCTTCAGATGCAGCAGTTCTAATCCCGGGCAATGTCTATGGATCCTGTTTATTGGACAACGGATGACCGCCATGACAACTTTAGCTAGCATTTAAGGGTCTTTGCCTCTGTTGACCATGTAAGGGAAAGGGATGGGGTTCGATTCGCGTGATTCGAACGCATCCGCTGCCACCAGTGTAGAATACCCGAGCCCTAATGGGAAAAAGACTGGTACAACAGAACAGGCTTTATTGACCAATCACAAGTCAGGTGCCATCCATTCGATCACACCACACTGGCCACGCCGCTCATTATATACTGCCCGTCAGTCGTGTCCTTCTCTGGTTGGCTGCCTTCCTTTCCCGCATGCCATTGGATCGCAGAGAGACACGGGATTGGCTGAGG